ATGCGCTTTGTGACAGACAGTGTGCCGTTTGCATAATAATCCTCTTCGAAGTGCTTATGTATTACATATAATATTTAAATAATGAATTGCAAGCGTATAATGCGGAAAATTTCGCTAAGAAAGCACTACTACAGCTATATACATATATACATTTATACTTGTGTATATATTTTTTGTTTTCTGCTATTATTAATTTTTCGTTATTTTCGCTATTGCTATCATTCTTTTCGTTCTGTATCTTTTATTTCTATTTTTCATATACATATGTACATACATACATAGCTCTTGCTTAGGTTTCTATTTAATATACTTAGAAGTATATACATTTATATTTGAGTATATGCTATATTACAGTTTCGTTAATTTTACCCCTCATTCCCTCCATCATCTGGTCTCCACCTCACGTACTCACCTAAACGCTCATCGTTTCTATGCACATACAGACATAAGTATGCTGTATCTAGATTTTTACATATAACTTCGCTCTACTTACAAACTTATTGTCGCCAATAAGCGCAGCTCCTTCATCGCCAACACCAGTGTTTGTCTTTCACTGGAGTTTTTCTCCTACCTAAGGTCGCTACAAAACCCATACTACATGTACTATATATTTATATAAGTAGCTCACCATCTTCTTCCTTGCGTACTCAGCAATTTTCTTCGTCAAGCCGCTTTTTGCGATTAGTGGCGCCTGTTAGTAATACTATATATGTATATATATATATATGTTTCAAATCCATTTTGTGTACGTTTATTGCCACCATTATTCGCTCTTCATTCCACTTTAATTTGATTTATTTGATTTTTTCTTTGTCAGATTGTTTCGTTTGCTTCTTCTCCGTACTGTATTTATAATATTTTATATGTTTTATGGTTCGTGCATTCAGCTGGCTTACTACTCGTCGTATCGACTTAATTTAAGTAAACATAATTATATTCTGATATCCACACACTGTGTGCACTGTTTGCTGGGTCTTTTTATTTATTTTGGCAAACAGGGGTCGAACAAGTCCCATTGTATTGTATTATACAGTGAAGTCAAACCTTTTGATTTTATTTATATTTTTTTTTAATTTTTATTTTGATAATTTGATGTTTGCATTATTTGTGGTATTTTTATTACTTGTGTTCACGTGTTCACAATTAAAACATATCTTTTATATAAATATATACAGTAGATCGTCTATCTTCGTGGTTGGTCAAAAAATACACCTTTTTAAATCTCTGTCATTTTGTCAGTTTTACAAATATTCAAAAAAAAAAATTGGTTTCAGGGCTGAAATCTATTGCTAAGAAGTCGCCAACGTTACACAGGGAGTGATGCATTCAAGTGCCAAAGGCAGACTTAGGATAAAATTGTGGTTATTTTTGTTTTGTATCCAAGTTTAAGAAGAAATTAATTAATTACGAAAATTGAATAAGGAAATATCATCTGTAGTTCGTTTGTAATTCATAGTCAAAAGTAGACCCAAAATTTGAGCGCGAAGGTTGACGACCTCCTAAACTTGACTTTGTCTTGCCATAAATTCTGTTACAAATATTACAATGCATACAGTGAAGACATGTTTGCAGTTTCCACTCATATATAATAAAATGTTCAGTGTTTTCTTTCACTTATTGACACTGGAGTGAACTTATTCGTGAAATCCCCTTAGAAAACAGAAATGTTTGTTAAGGGAAAAAGATATATCGACTAGAACAATGTCAGGACTCATTCGAGTGATGATCATCACATGTAAGCTTGCACTCTATAGACGGCCGTGAAAGTATCTTTTTTACAGTTGGAAATTTTTTCACGGTTGAAAAAGTTTTTAATAAGCAAAACATCAAAATCTACGCAAAAGCTTCCAAAGACGCAAAAAATATTATTCGAAGAGTTCAACGTGGTCAGCATCCAGCTGCTGTAATGGTTTGGTGGGGAGTCTCCTGTAAAGGTGTTACACTACTTCACTTCTGTAAAAAAAAGTTTAAAACGAGCATTGGATCTTCCAGCAAGATTCTTCTCCAGCACACACGGCAAACACCAGACTGCGGTGACTTAAAATCAATATTCCTATTTGCATAGCTGCAGATAGTTGGCCATCTGGAAGTCCAGATTTAAATTCATTGGTTTGTGATCAGAGTGTCCCAAGAAATCTTTGGTTCGAGCAGGCTCGTCAATACCAGAAACGGTACGTGCTGCTATTCAATGGCCGAATCGTTTAAAGGTTGGTGTGAAAGCAATAGATGACTATTTCGATTAACAGGCATATATAAATATGTGCATTAATAAAAACATTAACTTTATTAAAGTTCGAGCTTTCACAAATGTTAACAGATTATGTGAAAAATAGTGTATTTATTTACCAGTCTTGTTATTTTGAGCGCTACTGTATACCTATATACATACACACATGTTTCAGTTTTTGAATAGCTATAATACCTACCCAGATTCTTTCACACAAGGGGGCATCAAACGTTTGATATAGTATATTCATAAGTATAAGTATACGTAATAAAAGAGCACAAGTATTAAAGGCATTCATTCTCTCATAAAAATAATAGACAAACGTACAAGCCACTAGTGCATAAACTGTGCAAAAAGTCTAAAAAAGGGACAGCGACACAGCTAGCTACCTTCTATTTTTTTCTCACATCCAAGTAACTCACATTCGCGCTGTACAACAAAAATCCTCATGAATGTGCTGTAGGTAAATGAACGAAGAACGGACGAGCAACTAAACGCCTAACAGAATGGCAATCAAACGACTTTTAGCGTTAGGCAGCTTTTGTTGTTATGCTTGTAGTAACACTTGAAGGTATGCCGAAGGGGGGGCGGGGATATTATATAGTCGATTCAAAATAGAAAAATAAAATAAGAATTTAGTTATACACAAAAACGAAAGTTGATAAAAACAATATCAGAATACAGAGCAAAGCAAAAGAAAAGCAACAAAGTGTCACAAGATAAATATGTATAGATATGTAGAAGATATGTTTGTATGTGCGTATGTATGTAGTTATAATGTTCAATTTTATTCTCATTAGTGTATTTGTTTCTGGTTCCGCTCACTTTTGATATTATCACATGTGTATATCTAAAACATCTCGCGTTCTAATATCGCTCTCCTATAATGATGTATGAATGTATATAGGTACATATATGTGTGTATGTAGTTGTCAACGTTGACAGCTGTTTTACCATTGTCATTTCCTTGCACTCTATTATGCAATACATTCATACATACATGTATATATGTATGCAGAAATTCGTATGCACTTTATTTACGTGCGCTCGCTGTGGGATACATTCTCTCTGTGTCTGTTAAATTTTTAAGGGCACAGTGTGTTGAGATAGAAGAAATAACTAGTAATAAATCCGGAATAATTTTCAATTGAAGGGGTTACTTATATCCACTTGCAAGTCAGAAGAACAAATTTTTTGTTAATTTTTTTGAAATTTTGTTTACAGAATTTATTGTACTTTAATAATGGGTGTTGTCTGGTGGTGAGAAAGATTTTTCTGCTAAAAATTATCTCAAATCTAAAAACCAAACAAAGTTATTATTACTAGACATGAATACAGGTATTGATTGAAGGACCTGTAAAAATTTTGATTTTTGAGAAGAAAGTCGTTTTACACTTTAGAGTGGCATAAGAAATCCAAATTATTATCAAAAATCGTATCCCTTCAAAAATTATCAGACATATATAACTAAGCAGGTCGCATGCAAATTTAAAGTCGATCGGTGCAGCCGTTTCGGAGATATATCCCTCAGCGGCTTAGAAAACAGAGTTTTGAAAAAAATATATATATATCTCCGAAACTATTTGCCGGTTAGTAGTAGTACACTTCATGGGTTGAAAAGTCTTTGGCCTGATCGAAAGATCACCAAGAAATGTTTATCCCTGCCTGAAAGTACTAACCTTAGTTAGAGTTTTATCAAAGTTTCAAGACATTTCGTCCAACTGTTCTCAAGCTTTTAGTCTCAAAGTGCTTCTACCTCTGCGGTTTTTATTTCTAATGGAAAAAGCAGAATTTTGTGTGTTTGATAAACCTTTGGAGGCAAAACAAAGGTTTGATAAATGTCATGGCAAACCTGCCCCAGCATATTCAACGTTCAAGTACTGGCTTTTTATAAAATAAAATACCTTGTTCAGGAGACCCTGAAAGAGGTCTATCGTTAAAACGCTTCTCAAACTCATGGGAGAGCCTTTAGTTCATTAAGAGATGGTTTGCTGCTTAAGTCTTTTGTTTCAAGCAACTCTCTAGCATACTTTTGGGGGTTCGTATACTTTTCTGCCAATGCTACCAAAAAAAGTTTGTATAGATGAAATAAAATATTGATACATATTTTTTTTAAACTTTTTGTTTTGATTTTGAATCGAAAATTATAATTATATTCGTTTGATATTCAATTTATATTGACAAATCATAATTTTCGTTAAATTACTGAAACGGAGAGAAATTATCTTGAAAATGTTGATGCTTAGCCTTTTGGGGTTGAAATATTTTAATAATAATAAATTATGGAGAAAAGCTGTGGAGAGTGCTAAACTGAGCAAACAGCTGGGATAATTTACGCTGACATCCAGCATTTTAATAAATTAGGCACATACTCTCTTAGATAAAATATCAATTTGCTACTTCAATTCATAACTCGCTCCACAGTGCATTGTTAACCATATGACGAGCATTTGAACCGGTCTCGAGATATCAACAACGCGCATACTCTCACTGCCGCGCGTTATCTCTCTCGCTCTCTCTGTGTTCTTAGTAGTGGTGGGTCGTTGCCGGTTTGCCGGCTGGCGCGTAACCCACATTTTGAAGGTAAATTTTGTGTGGCAATCGTTCATCAGCAGATACTTGCTATTTCGCCATACCCGACTCTGGTTGCCTGTTACATTGGCGGTTACACGCTGTCGACTTGTGTGCACGCGCGCGCTTGGTCGCTTCATCATTGCAGCTGACTGCCTGCCTGCCTTGTTATTATAATACCTATTATAATAAGCCATGTATGAAAGCGCCGCTGAACTACAAAACGCTTGTTATGCGTTATCGATAACGACCGCTCAACCGCTCGACTGTGCGGTTGACAATGCAATGCGCTATGTCATGTGTGTATCTATGCAGCGTGAACTGTTTAGGCAGGCGGTCCGATTCGTAATTTGTTGTACATTCACCAATGAATACATAATAGAGTATTTGTTGTTGTTTTCTTATTGCTTAGCTGTTATCAGTTTTGCCTTTCTGTACTCGTGCGCTGAGCGTCGTGCCTGTCCGCTCATATTTTACTGAGGGCGCGTCGCTCTATCAATGCGTTCGTTCGTTTTACTTCGCACTCGATTTTTGTTGTGTTCTCTCATTTATGTTGTTGTTGAACAAGTTGTAATTTCTTTTCCATTCAACCGCTTTGTTTACCTTTTGCTTGTTTTGCGCATGTGTTTGTACAGCGTTGCTGTCTGTGCCCCGCCACCCTGCGCGCTCCCGCTCTCAACACTGGCAAACCGAGCAACCACAACGCGTCGAGCGGCGCGGCGCGCACGGCACGGCACAGCGCGTTCGTTTTTATGCACGTTCGTTCGTCTGGCTTTGGCGGTGTTTCGACTGCTTGGCGCTTTGTTTGCTGTTGCTTTGCGCTCGCTTCTGGTTTTGAATTTCTGCTTGGTGCGCGTTTGCTTGCTGACGCGGCTGTTCCCCTAATCTTTCCCTCGAATATCGAATCTCGATTTCGATGAGATTTTACCGCCGAGTTCGTTGTAATTTTTTCTTTTCAAAAACAAAACACACTTTCTTTTAAAATCTTTGCAAAATTTAACAATAAATAAATATGCTACTAAATAAAAAGATCAACCAGAAATGAATACAAACAACGTATTTTTTTGTCGCAAACATCAACTGCCGCTACAGCGTACAACAACGACAAACAAATGTGCCAAGTCAGCCAACCGGCAATGTTACTACAGTGAGTGAGTGTCTAGCCGCCTTATTCCAAATGTTGTGCTATATAGTGTGTTGAACAAGTGAATGCGCGCGCCGCGCCAGCCGGTCAACAGCCAAACAACCGTCTACCGCGAGCCGCTACGGTGCTGTGAATGTCGGTCGGTAAATGCTGCCGCAAAAACCTACCGATGGCTACCACCGGCTTTGACTCCTCAACATGCTCGTCGTCGTCTCATGCCTAATTGCTTCCTATCGTGCTATCGTCAAAGGCGGAGGCGTCAACGTCGTTGTTAGGTGGTGGGTTTTGTCGCTACAACATCGTCGGCAATATGTTATATGTGCTTGCTTTATTTAATCACTTTGCCATATTTAATTCTATCAAAATAGCAATGAGCCACAAGCGATTTAAGTAATAAAAACAACAATCAGCTGTTTAGAGCCATATAACCAGCTAGTCAGGCTAGCTAACATAGCTGCCGCGTGCAATAGCAAACGCCGTCACAGTCAACAATTGACTGAATGACGCTAACGTGCTGCTGTTGACAGCCCCAGCTCAAGCAGTCGACAACTATACCGACATCAACACCGACAACGACAAAAACAATATCAGCGACGCCGATGACTATGACCCCAACGTCGGAAAGCGAAGCAATCCGATGTGACGCCTTGGCTCTTAATAACTCGTTGCATCAACGCTATACACACATATATATCCTACAAACAACTTGTTTCCAACGCCAATACTGTGTGCTCTCACCGACACAAAGCAACAACCATTCTATTATGCGCTCTTCATATCGTCCAGCCACACGCCATATATACCGGCAGCGACTAACCACCAACACTCCAACAGCCGGCAAAGCAAACACTTCATACTTGGTACACTCATTCCATCATATAATCCAGCTAACCAAACAACCGAATAAGCAACCGACAACAAACCAAAACCATCCATGCGACCAGTTCGTTGCTTTCCTCTACAATTGTTTTCGTGTGTGTAGAGCAGCAGCGGGTGTGGCTGGGGGTGGGTAGCGTGTGAACTTTTTTACCCACTACGCGTTTAGACTACTTATACGCCCCGTGGTCGTTTTTCTGCTGCATCAGCACATATTTAAGCGAGTACGTTTACATTCATCCAATCGCCCATCCACAAACTTATACACACACATACACAAACACATACAATCAGCGCACTCATTGTACAAGTGGAATCTCTCTGAGTGAGTGGTGGCGTTTTTATTACTTTGACTGCCGTTGTTGGTGCTTCGTGCGCGTCGTTGCTGTCGTGTTATTTTGAATGAATCAACATTGAAAACCAAAACAGATGATTAGCCTAGTAAACTGAAACCAGAAAGCCAGACGGCACGACACGAAGCGTTAACAACAATGAGACGGTAGCAACGAAACTGGTCGGCTGCATGATGACGTTGAGTTGAAAGAGCGTGTGAGCGCCATATACATACATATACAACTTTGTAAGAAGGTTGCCAGCTTTTTTGAAATTATTAGATTCAAATGAATATTTGGATTTGTGGCGTTTAGTGTTTATTTTATGATTGTCTAGTTTATTTATTGGTGTTTTCACAATGCTAAAATAGTTAGTATTTTAATATATTATACAATTAAAATTGGGCTTGTTACTTCATTTGTTTAAAAATAAGACTCTTTTTATAAATGTCATTTTGTCAGTTTGTTTGGCAGCTATAGTGCTCCGATCTAAAAAATTGGTTTAGAGATTGTCGTGTTGCCGGGACATAAATCCATACTAAAATTTTGTGAAGACATCTTGAAAAGAGAGAGAAAGAGAAATGGTCAATATACACTGTTCAGGAATAAAGATTGAGTATTGAAAGCGTATGTAAGTTAATCATGAATAATTCAAGGAAGCAAGATAAAAAAAGTTGGGTTTCTCTGTCGTATAAAAGAGAGTATTAGTACTTAAAAATGTGTTCCGAATAAGTATGTTGTAGTCGGGTCTTTGCAAGATCACCTATAACCAAAATTAAAAAAAAAAATTTTTTTTAGGACTCAGGCAAAGTGTTTTCAATTCTTGGCATGAAATATTTATACTATTTTGCGAATAAAATATAACGAAATTAATATATATTCAAATTTCTTAAAATTATTTAAATATTCTTCAATTCATAATATTCAAAATTAATGAATTCTTAGTTATTATTTTATTATATTTAGTAAATTTTTCTGTGGAATTGAACAGGAAATATAGGAACGTAGGGTCTTTAAATAATGAGAGATTTAAACTTAGCAGTAATGGATAGCCATATGTTTTAATACTATTGATTTCCTTTGAAGCTGAATTGAGACCTAGCGTCTTAAAATTTTCTGAAAATAAAATTGAACGAGTTTCAAGGAAAGAATGTAGACCTTGTAGCGAAATACGCAGCCAGAGAAAACTGCTTCCGGTTAATAGGTTCTACGCCAGAATTTTTTTCTTAAAAATGCACTTTACGATTTGGAATTGTATTATTTAGGATATTGTCTTGAATTACACTTAGAACGAATAAATCTGAATGTACCGACTCGCATAAGATACGTTTTCGTTGACTTCACGACCTTCACTAAATGCTTTGCTTTTTTCACTCAAATACTTGAGTTCGTAATAAAGTACACTACCAATAACAATATTTTTCAACGAATCCGTAGACTTGAAACTCGTTAATTTTAATTTCATTTTTTTTCATGTAAACATTGCAAGACAAACCTTTCGCTTCGTAAATACATACACTAGTTTTCATATGGAGATCAAACTTTACACGAATTAAAAAGGTTTTAACAAACTAAGAAAAATTTTCTTTACCGATTCGACGCACGCAAAGTAAATGAACCAGGGCGGTCAAATTTGATGAGATGCCCACGCATAGAAACATGTAAGCTAGAGGCGGCTTACTCTCCAGCTACAGTTCCCATTGTAAGAACTTAAAGTCTACACCTTTTTTATTCAAATATTAGTAATTTTCCTTATGGGCTATTTTAATAAATAAAATCTGAAATGATGTATTTTTATTTTTTATTATCAATAATATGGCAAGCCTTGTTCACAATTTTCTAAAAAGCAATATAACAGTGCAATAATTTAATATGGTGGTAGTTCATAATTCGAACAAAAGTTTATGTCCACTGATTACCAGCCACTTAAATGCTGTGGAATGGGACCCGAGCGATTTGCACAAAACAAATAACGACAGCTTGGTAGATACAAAAACAAATACACACATAAATATACAATAGATATTAAGCGTTTTTGTGTCATTTATTTATAATGTTTTATGGTTATTATGTAGGTGGAATTTATGTATGCACTGTGCATTTAATATTGCAAAGAATGATGAAACTATTTAAGAGATCATAACAACCTAATAAATTCACACCTATACATACACATTTAAATTATATTAATACGAATATAAATTATTTATAAAAAAAGACGCTATTAAAAACGAATTATTGCATGTAATTAACTCATTCCCACATAAAATTCAAACAAATTCCACACAAATAGTTATTAAAGCCTCGTCATTAAAAAAAAAGCAAGCAGCAGCCAAGCGAAAAGGCGAAAATTTAAGAGAAGGTCGTTGGTTTACTTGTACACATACATATGTAAGTAGCTATAAATGTGTGTGTTTTTGTGTCGATTCGTTTAGTGGCGCTCGGCGTTTGGCTGCACTCATTGAGCGTGTAGTCGGCCCGTTTACAGCATTCGTTTCTTGCTGTGCGCTCCCCAGCTGGATTATCACCTCGTCATGCGGTGGTTCCTTTGCCGTTCACGTTCCCGTTTCTATTGCTCTTGCTGCTGTCACTTCCCCACTTAAATCTGTACATACATACGTACGCTTCTCATTTCGCATATTTCGTTTCATTTCTCACTTGTCTTATGCGACTTTATCACACGTCTTGCATTCCAACCATTCCATTGAAATTGATTGTGTTGGGGAGCAGCTGTGCGCGCTGTTATGGCGCTCTCCGCCTATGTTTGCGGTGTCGTTTGGTCGTGCGGCGTACCGGAAGGTCGCTTTACCGCAACAATAACACCAACAACCGGACTATTTATTATGAAAATCGTGCAATCAATGTTATCGTATCTCTCAACATTTTTATATTCCATCGTCGGAGGCGACGACGACGCTGCTATTGCTGCCGCTCTGTCGGCATCGTAATCGTTAATATGTTTACACACTCGTATATACATATACATATGTATATATTTATTTTTTAAATATTATACTATTTTTAGCTTCAGACGCACGCTGTTGCTCGGCTGCGCTGCGAGTGCATTTTTTAGCCTTTATATTCTCTTTGCTGGCGTTGCTGTTTTTTCGGTTGTTTGCTTCGTCGGTTGACGTTAAATGTTTTTGTTCGTTGGCATCGAACTTGTTTGCTTGCCGTCAGCTGTTGTGCTATGCATTTTAAATGGTTGTTGGTCGGGTGAGTGGTTCAATGTGGGCTATCTATCGCGTGTTTTATCGTGTGCTTCGTGTTCGCTTTGGGGGGTACTCGAGGGTAATTACTTTAGCGCCTCTGGTTAGTTAGTTTGTTGGGGTCGTTTTCCGTTCAGACCTCTGAAAGTAATACCTACACTTATTTGTATGAGCCAGCTTGGAAAATATGGTACGTTTTTCAATGGCTGCGGAACAGGTTTGGCGTGCGATTTAGTTGTTGAAGAATTTTGTTTCTTTTCCTCGTTTCTCTGTGCTCTTGTTGTAATTGAATTGGGTGGATGTTGTCTAAACGAAATTCATGTGGGATCTAATGTAAAATTAAATCCATTTTTTATTAGTTTGTATAAGATAGTAGCTACTTTAAAGCGGCGACAGGGTTTCCAAGTGTTTCGGATATTATGTTCTTTTAGTGTGTTGACTGATATAGAAGGAAAAAATAGTATATACAAATTTATTTCCACGTATTTTAATACAAAACTTTATTATTGCCTTTAATATAGACTTATAAACCAACGAAATCATATCATTACACTTTTTATAAGCCTCGTGTGGGATAGCCTTTCGACTCATTTTTGGAGCGGTGTTCTGAATATTATTTAACAGTTTCGACATCATATTTATAAATCCACGTCTCATGACTAATAACGACGCGTTTGATGAATGTAGGGTCCTCAGCTGCGTCGTCAAGCATCTATTTTGCCAACGATCTTTTCCCGACGTCGCTTATACAAAAGATTTAAGTCTTTTGGTAGGAATTTAGCATTGACACGCTTCATACCCAAACCATCAACCAAACTATATTGAATCCATAAGAAATGTAGAGATTCTCTGTTACCTCTCTGATGCCAGCACTACGTGTCGATTTTCAAACAAAAGAGGGTGAATGGACGATTCGCATGAGACAAGTTTTCGATGACGTCAGGACCTTCACTTAATGCCTTGTGCCACTCAAATACTTATTTTCGTCATAAAGTAGACTCCCAAAAAAAATATTTTTCAACGCATCTGTAGCCTTGGTTACACTGAAATCAAAGAATTTCAAGCAGACTCGTTGTTCTATTTTTCCATGATATAAATCGCCACATAAACTTTTCACTTCGGAAGCCAACATCTGCCAACACACACTAATTGACATATGTAGATCAAACTTCACACGATCATAAAAAAGGCTGTACCAACCAATCTAGGAAACACTTTTTCATCGATTCGGTTTGCGCGTAGAATTTAAATGCAGCAGTTCGGGTTAAATTTGATCAGATGGTATATCAACGGTTTTTTAAACATTACTATAATTTGATCAAACGAACAACAAAGGATTAAATGGAACCACTAGTTAAAAATTAGTGAAACTTAAAGCATGTAAAATGATTCGGGTTTTGGAGCTTAAGGAAATAATTATATAATAGTTATAAATAAAGAATATCATTAATTCACCTTGGCAACTCTTTTAACAACTGAACGACTAAATTTTACCTCGCCATTGCTGCTTCGTTGGTCATCTCGTACAGCAACATCGTAGCCTTCGTTGTCACAGACTCGTCGTTTCAGCTGATTTATATGCTTACAATGCAATAAAAGTTGCACTCTGGCCACTAAAATGAATCCAAGTGGATTCCGCCGGCATACACCATGGGGCTGCAAGTTTTTGCGAAGCGCACGTCGAAATTGTGAGTATGTGTTGGAATGACTGGAATGCGGTGCACTCTCGGGTCACTGTGTGCCACATACATCCAACATACAACATAAAAAAGCCACAGCAGCAACATTTATCGGTGACAGAGGTGCCTTGTTAACAGTATCTATGCGTACGCTCTTGGCACACTGCTGCTATAATGTAGCCGACTATTGCATGGTGACAGATGAACAGGCCACTCAACGCCACAGCCCGGCTGCAGCAGCAGACTCGGCTCGGTTGTCGCAATTTAAGAGCGCAGTTCCAACTTGTTAATATTGCTTGTACTACTTTGGCAAGTCGCATGTTACAAATCCCAATTGAAAAGCGTGCGACGGAAGTAAAGAGAACAATTATATTTGGTGCCTGCCTATGAGCACAACAACATTTGCTTATCATCGATTATTTCTCGGCTACAGTCACAACACACGACCCCGAAGTCTCAGTCATCTCAATGTAGGAGTTGGATATTTGCTTTTGCTTTGGTTTTGACTGCGCTGCGCTCCAGCACTTTGGGGAATTCGGCCATTCGGGAAGTCGGGTGTAGTCTGTTTGTTTACTTATGCTTAGCTCATGCTGCTGCTGCTGCTGTGCCTCGGTTCGATACGAGATTCGCGTAACGCGTGCATGTCGTTAAACAGTCAATGGGTTGATTGCTGTTGCTTGCATGCAAACAAAATAAATTCATGGCACGAATAATATACATGATATAATGCGAGCAACGGCAATAAGAATCCGAAAGCGCAAAAACAATGTGTTGGAGATTTTGGGTGAGAAAACAGAACCTGCATTTGTTGAGTGTTTGTAGAGAGTAAATTCTGTTTATTAATTGTAGATATATACTTATATATGTACATATGTGTATAGAAGGCGTAATTTATTTGACAAACGTTACAGTGGGGATTGAAGGTGAGTTCTCACTATTTTAGTAGTGGAGAGAATAGTACATGGTAGAGAACCAAGATGCTTGCTGTGCGTCGGCCAATTGATGGTTGTTAATTTTTGCTATTTAAAACTTTTTAAGTGTGATTTAACAGTTGAGAAAATTAATTCACTTTTAATGTTAATTTAATGCCTCTAACTCTTTATTTGTTCGAAATAAATAAATAATTCATATATGATGTGTGTTGATAACAATTTCTAATACCAAACAAGAAAACACGCTAACTTCGGCGGCACCAAATCTATAATACCCTCCACAGCTGCATTTTGTATAGCATAAAAAGGTATAAAAATATCTTTTTATTTTGATTTTGATCGGTCAATTTGAATGGCAGCTATATGCTATAGTGGTCCGATCTGAACAATATGTTTGGAGATTGTACGAATGCTTTGGATAATAATCTAACCAAATTTCACGAAGATGCTTTGACGAATAAAAGAGTTTTCCATATAATGACTTGAGTTTGATCGGCCAGTTGTATAGCAGCTATATGCTACTGTTGTTCGATATAGGCGGTTCCGCCAAATGAGCAGCTTTTTGGGGAGAAACGGACATGAGCAAAATTTCAGATCGATATCTCAAAATCTGAGACTAGTTCGGGTATATACAGACGGACAGGCTCGTCACGCTGATCTTTTATGTACATGTACCTGTATATATGATCTTATATCCGCTCCTGATAGCTTTTTCTTTGCTTTCACGGATTTCACGGATATGAATAGCATCAAGCTTCTTCATTATCAGACCCACTTGGGTACCTGGTCATAGCGGAATCATTGGAAACTGCAAAGCCGATGAGCCCGCAAGAGAGGGCGCTAGTGTTCCGATTACATCGGATTGGGAACGAGTTGGGTTTTCGTTCTACTTTTGGACCTCTGGACGCGCTGGTCAACAACTTTCTTCTGTTCGATTGCGAAATCCTTCTGGTCTAGTACAGAATGACGGAATTACTTGCCCTCAGTAAGGGTTTTCTTGTCGCAATCGTAAGAGTTCTTACTGAGCATTATTTAAAAGACGTGCATGAGGTAAGAAGGAAAATCTTGTGGGCCGTTAACTGTCAAAGTTTTAGGGTTTAGGTGAAGGCCAGCTTTTGCAAGGTTGAGGTTGGAACATCTCGCCAGTCATATCTTCTTCTACAATGAACCGTTGTTCTCAGCTGTCGAAGTGGCATCCGTTTTTGGCTCGACTTTTAATCTAATTAAACCTTCCCCAGGTATTTAGCAATTTCAAATGAATAACTAAACCGAGTTATGTAGTTTACTGCATTTAGTATATACCACGCATAGATGTGTATTTTCTAAACTTGTAATTTTTTCTAATGAAATAATGTGTGTTATATTTTGAAATAATAAAATTCCTGTCTTCCCAAAGTTTTCTACCAAAATCGAAAAACCCTCTTGTTAGATATTGAATGCATATTATCTAATTGACCTTCAAATAGCCAATAAATAAAAGATAATAAAATATTGCCATCATAAATAAAAACGGAACATATAATATTAAATCATGAAGTTTCGTTCTCATTCTTAAATGGAAAAAATTACTATTTACACACCCCTAACTCTCAGCACATTCGTCTCCTACCCAAAACACCGAAATGCCATTATTGCGAAACTGGAAAAGTTGCACATGCTCATAAAATTCACTTCGCCAACTGGCTCTCCGATTAAGTTTTCAATATCGCGCACATCTCCCAGTGCGAGCTTGCTCCTCCCGCTGCACTAAATTCATATTGGTATATGTATATAAGTATAGTAGGTATGTGCTGTTTGTATGTATTTTGCATCGGAATCTACGCGTTTGTCATGTGGCTTCGCTTAAAATCCATAACCAACATAATTGACCCGAATCAAAACAGCGACAACAACAGCTAACAACGAATTCCACGATGATTACACTGTCGTCGATGCGATGTTATTATCGGTGAATTCCCCACAGCCGCGTTGGTGTAATGAAAATTATTAGAATTTTTCATGTTTTAATAAAAATGAATAAATTCTCGTTATGAAACGGTAAATATTAGGGTGTGAGTTAGTTTTGTTAATGTGTAGGGATGCCAGCATTTTGATTATTTTAAAAAGTTATAGATTATATGAAAAAACTGTGCTCTTGAGTATGAGTTTATTTTACCTTGCCTTTGTTTTCTCTTCAGTGAAATACAGGCCGCTTATTGTTGGTCTAGACATTTTTTTATTTTTAAATAATTTTATGTGTTAGGACTTTATTATTGAGATCAGAGGACAACTTTCACGCCACCACTAAATGTGGGCAAATATTTATGGGTGTAGACAGCAGACTACAATTTTTTGCAAATTTTTTTCTCGAACAATTCAAAACAATCATTCCCGAGTACCAGATTTCTCTCTACGTTCCTGGGTATAGATATATGGTATACATATGTACATGTGTATAAAGCGGTCACATGATGTATGTTGCACCCCACAGGTAGACTTTTTGGCATATTCGAGAGAATCAACTACGAAAATGGGTAGGTGTTGTGGTTGAGATGAGATGTGAAGTTGAAATGCCGAAATGCAAAATGTGTACACTTTTCTAAAATTATATTGAAATTGTTTGACAATGTTTTGGAATAAAAACAGTAGCGGACAAAAAAATAATGACACCCTAGAGATGTGTGATTATTTGATTTTATTTAAAAACAAAGTATTATATAACTAAATTTGTCATGCAACTAGATTCACATATATACAACATAAATAAATATTTCAGCTCAAAATAAATTTTTTCATTTTTGATTAGAAGCCAAAACCGTTAAATGTCTTCAATTATTCGATCACGTTCTTCTCTCTTCTTTGTTATCCGCATGACGTGCCAGAGGTGTTCTACGAAGTTTATATCTCAGGCCAGTCCAGTGATAAAACAACCATTTTGCTAAATATTTTTTTATTTGAAAAAATTATAATTTTTTTTAGAAACGAAATGTTAACACGGTTATATAATATAAAAAAAATATTATATCGATGGCATGGTTTAGAGTCATCCGTTGTCAATAAAGAAAAAGTGCGCTTCAATGGAAGGCACCAAGTTTCCCTGTAAGAGCTGTTGTTATTTGATTCTGTTAACATTTCCATCAACCAAAGCCAATTTTTTAACACCATTATAGAAAAAATACCTCCAGATCATCCGATTGCTCCCCCTGCCTAACGGTATGTCTGACACACTCATTATTGTAACATTCATCAACTCTTCTGCGAACACACAACATTCCGTCTGAACCGAAGAGATTAATTTTGGATTCATTTGAAAATATGATTTTTCTCCAATCCTCTTTGGTTCAAGTTGTGTGCGGTTTAGCCCACATTGGAGGTGACTTTGTCGCATTTTTACCGTCAAGAGTGTTTTTTTGACAGGTCGACGGGTAGTTAGCCTGGCTTCTTGTAGACATCGTCGTACAGTTCGCTTACTGTTTTCGATTCTATTTAGTCGTTAAACTTCGCTACTGATGTCTTCAGCTGTTTTGAATCGGTTTTGGACACTAATCCGCTTAATACGGTTGTCATCTTTAGCCGTAGTCTTCTTCGGGCTTTCGGCATCAGCTTTGCGTTTTATAGACCTAGTCTACACAATTTTTTTCTGAAGGAAATCATCGACAGTAGTTTTGCCAATATTTTATTTTTTCACTAATTTTGCGTATATTCAAGTTTTGAGGTCGCAAAGCCAAAATTGTGGCTTTATCAACTTCAGTAAATTTTGGACTTTTCCCACTTTTCATTTTATTTGCAGCCGCGTGTATACTCAAGAGAATAAATATAAGCGTTTTATTGGAGCTAAATAATGTACTTACTATAATAAATACTTCTAGAATGGAGTTTAATGTCTTTATACTACAACGAATTAAAGTCACCATAGTCATTTATGTTATAATTCAACATGTTTTCTAAGCGGTTGAGAACTAGTACTGAACTAGTTTAAATTTGCAAATATAAACTTTATATTGTATAAAGTTATACACAAATGTATAATTCATTGGAGAGTACCCACATTATTACTATTGCCCTGATTTCGCTTAATTAGAAATGAAAAATTATTGCAGAAACTATACGCATTGATATAACATAAGCTCAGCACATATACATATTTTGTCTACATATGGATGCACATATATACCTATATATGGTATGTATATTTATTAGAAATTCACACTGTTAGAACAAGTTTAAATCGAATGAAATAATTCACATACATACATACATATGTAGGTATGTGAGTCGTACAACTGCAAGCAGTCGCTTATATTAATGTAACAGCGACAACCTTGACAGGTTTTTATCGACTTTCTCCCTCTAAGCTGCGTATCGT